AATTAATAAAATAAAAATTAATAAAATAAAAATTAATAAAATAAAAATTAATACAATAAATATTTAGATTCTTAAGATCTTAAATACTTCGATTTATATTTAAATTAATATTTGGAATCTCATTTTTAAATATACTAAAATTTATTAAAATCTGCTGCAATACAGTACTAGTATTAACTTAGTTTTATTTTTATATCTCTATTTATTATATCTAATATATCTAAAGTATATCTATTTAATAGTATAATTTGATTTAATATCTTTAATTAGACTAATTTTATATATATTAAAATATTAACATACTAGAATTAATAAATAGTTTATTTATAATATTAAACAGATTTTAAGACTTTTAATACATATTAGATATAGTATTTAGTAGTTTATTATTTTTAGAATCTTTATAATTAAATTTTTAAAAATAATAATAAATACAATTATATATACAGCTAAACCGTACACTTTATGTAATGTATCTAAAAGATAAATATAATTTAAAAATAAAGAAGTAGAACTAGAAAAATTTATAAGAAATATCAAAAATAATCTTAAACACTATTTTACATTTCTAATAACTTTTAGACAGTTTAAATTTAGCCTTAGAATTATATCTTTAAAAGTATTTATTATCTTTAGTAATTAAATTATAAACCAAATCTTTTAAAAATTATATAAAAATATAATAGTAATAAAAGTAGAAAAACGTATAAGTAATTTACTAGATATATATAAAATTATTAGTATAATAAACAATAAAATAAAAAGTATATAATTAAATATAAATAAATATAATCAAGAAGTTTATCTGGTTTGGTAAAATTATTTAAAGAATACTAAAAGTGAAAATTACAACTTTTGATCTATATGTAATTAATTAATAAAAAGATAAATAAATTAGTTAAAAAAATCAATAAGATTTTTATATAAAATAAACTAATCAATATTTTAAGCTTATAGATATGAACAGTATTCTAAGAATATAAATATAAAAATCAAAAATATCATATAATATATTTTTATTGATATATTTTTTAAACATACTGGATAATCTTTTATAAGATTATATAATTTCATAAGCAGATTTTTATATCAGTAATACTATAAAGATATACCTAGTTTAAGATTTACAAACATAATATATATAATATTAAAAATGTAAAAAACAGATATAATAACAGGAGATAAGATAATTAGTAGAAAATTACTAATATAAAAAAATTGAAGTAGTTTGAAATATGATATACTAAAGTAGTAGATATATCAAAAAGTAATTTTAAATATAATATAAATATATATATAAGTCTAGCTGACTAGTCAAATAACTAGAGTACAATTTATTAAAACTAGTAATTTATAAGTAGTATTAATAAATTTAAAAATACAGCAAATGGTAAAATCTGTAGGTATAAAACATGAAAAAATAAAATAGTATCGAAATAAAGTAACCGTAACAGCTAGAGACAAAGAATAAATATAAAAAATTAAAAAACAGTAGTATTTTTAAAGGCATATAAAATATATATTTAAATAGCTAAAAAGTTATATTATTAGATATAATAATTACTGTACATAAATATATTATTTATAATACCAACTATATTAAAATATTTTTTTTAAAAAATATATAAAATAGTAAAATACAGAAAGTTCCACTACATAGGCGGTATAGGAGGCGGAGGCAATAAATAAACAGCAGAACATTACTATAGATAAACATCTAAATATTAGAACATCACATCTAGTACTTTAAAAAACATATTAAAAAATACCTAGGATTAATAACAGATATACTTTTAACTTATTATTAACATACTGGGCTATAAGTCTTTAAAATATAAAATATTGAAATAATATAATAATACAAAGCTGTTAATTATCTACTTCACAAGCTCTCCTGTATTGAGTACAGATGTATAATGTGTAATGTGGAACAGAGACAGAAGAAAGGGACTAATGTACAGACACAGAAGGAGGCTTGTTCGCAAGACATGACGGTCAACACTACCAACAGCTTTTTATACATCTTTTGGATTATAGTTATAATATTAATAATCTAAAGATCTTTTTAATATTCAATCCCTAGGGTCTTGCTACGCCTCTGGGTAGTAAGAATTAGTCTTTAAAAAATAGAGTGCTATCTTCTATATCTAACCAACCTTCTTTCTTTTAACAACTATCTATGTCTTTAATAATCGTTTTATGCATATAGCTATCTTCTTAGTTTCTTTTTATAATAACTGTACTATTATAATAAATAATATTATGTCTGATCACATACCGTAACTGCTATATTATTATTGAGGTAATAATTTTAGCTGAAAATAACCTCTTAATACAAATACTTATTTTTCCATATTATGACGACCTATAATTCCATATGTTTTAATCACTTTTTTAATCCTAGTTCTACTATGCCTATGCCGGGGTACTCTAAGCAAGTTTAAAAGTACATGTTAATAATAACTTCTGGTTTGTTATAAGGTGCAGGAGTGTGGGGGTTGCCAAGCAATAAGTATTTGCATTGTGCTAAAACTATGCCTATAGGTTGGGTTGTGGAGCAATCAGTATCATTGCCCATAAAGCACTACTCCGGTACACTTCTGTTGACACTTTTCATCAATCATCTTGGCACCTGACTCCATTTATCATCCTCCCAGTTGATTTAGTCCTCCACTGACTAGGCTTGTTTTAGCACCAATTTCTCAGAGCATGTGTATTCAGCGCCGCGGGCCTCTTGACCCAAATGTGGTGTAGTGCCCAGTTGTCATCTCATTCCCAAGCTGCTGCGCTCCTACCATTGACATTCAGGCTCTCTACTTTTTCTCCCCTCCATCTCCACATAGAATGACCGAATGAGCTCGTCAAGGCACTTCCATCCACACGTCTATATCATCTTATAATACCAAGATATCGCAAAAGCTCGACAAAATCAGGCGGATATACCCCACTCTAGTCCTGTGTGCTATCATCTACTGCAGGCTTCCCACGAATGCATATAATTCAGCCCGGAAGCCGGATATTGATAAGACAATGAGCTTAAATCGCCGAGACGCAGTCTTATCTGTTGAGGGCGAAAATAAAATTGCGTTGACCGAAGTGCCCAACATGCAAAAGTCAAGTACTTCCCAGGTATGACCGCCAGCATGTAACAGACAATCAGCGCACTTACACCCAAGGATCATCCCAGGACGACTTCCCTGCACAGACGCCTTCTGTGAGTAATAGAATTAAGGGGAGGATTTCCGAGCCTGTTGCCGCAGCTTTCGTGGCCGGCGGCGTGGCCGGGGCCGTATCTAGGACCATTGTCTCGCCACTTGAACGTCTCAAGATCCTCCTACAAATACAAAGTGTTGGGCGAAATGAATATAAACTATCGATATGGAAAGCGCTGGTGAAAATAGGCAACGAAGAAGGCTGGAAGGGATATCTGCGGGGAAACGGGACCAACTGCATCCGCATTGTGCCGTACTCCGCCGTCCAATTCGGAAGCTATAATCTCTACAAGAAAGTCAGTGAGTTCAGCGCTGCTTGCAAAAGCCTCGGACTGAGTCGCAACATTCCCTTTGGGCATTCTCATGTGAAGCCTAGTAGAAGGCTGACCTTACCTGACTCGATCACCTATAGTTCGCAGAGCCTTCTCCCAATACAGACTTGTCCCCTATCCGGCGCCTCTTATGCGGAGCTGCTGCAGGGGTTACATCCGTGACCGTGACCTATCCTCTAGACATAGTCAGAACTCGGCTTTCTATTCAGTCAGCCTCGTTTGCGGCGCTCGGCCAGCGGGGAGCAGGGGAGCCATTGCCGGGTATGCTTACAACGATGATCCTAATATACAAGAATGAAGGTGGCATAGTAGCATTGTATCGGGGGATAATCCCCACAGTGGCTGGTGTTGCCCCATACGTAAGGACCGCATTAACATAACGACTGACAAATATGGCTTGTGAACTGACAGGTATAGGTTGGCCTCAATTTCATGACTTATGAGTCGGTTCGCACTTATCTCACCCCGGAAGGCGAAACAGCGCCCAGTTCCGTTCGTAAATTGTTAGCCGGGGCAGTTTCCGGGGCAGTGGCTCAAACTTGCACGTATCCATTGTAAGAGACCCACACATTATTGTCATCCTCACACACGGACTACCTTATGCTCACCACTCTTCTATTAGTGATGTCCTACGTCGACGATTTCAGATTAACACAATGTCGGGCATGGGATATAAATACACATCGGTTGTAGATGCTGTGAAAGTTATTATGGCCGAGGAAGGCATACGAGGCCTATTCAAAGGAATCGTTCCAAATCTCCTGAAAGTGGCCCCAAGTATGGCCAGCAGCTGGCTCAGCTTTGAGCTGACAAGGGACTTCCTTGTTAGCATGGGCGAGATATAAGAATACAACCGCCATACATCTCATCGCGTGGATAAATTTTTCCAGTCCACAAGAACAGGATCACCGAAGACACAGACACAGTGGGGGAATAAAACCTGCAGATTCTCCTATTGGAACGAACAGGACGTTTGTTTACCGTCGAAGAGTAATTGTTCCTAAAATACAACATGATACTCTTCATTCTGGTAATGTTCTCAAGTGCAGAAGAAGAAGCCAAGAATATGAAGGTTTCCTCTATCCATAAATAACATCAGCTTCAAGAATGCTCCTACGCAGATAAAAGTAAGCTAAACTATGGGTCTAAGAACAAGCTAGTACTACAAGAACACATTTTTAATTACAAAGACATGAACCAAGGTGGAGCGGAGCTGTGCATTACACTTAGGTACACGGTACACGTACCTACGGGCCAGAATAAAGTTATCCAGTGGTACTCGCCTGAGGCGCCAGGCAGCCAGGCCTCCGGAAATGGCCTGTTACGGATTAGACTAGGGCACAACCCGCACACACCGTCCATCTGAAAATCGTAGACTAAAAATCTGAGCAGCTTCATTTTACCTACGGGTGCGATAGCCAGCTAACCTACAGGTGTCCCATCAGAATCAGTAGCCATGGGTACGTTTCTAAATGTTGCGGACGGTGCATGTTATCGGTCGCTTTGAATTCATTTTTGTCAAACTTGCGATAGGCGATGCTATCGCTGAAATGTGAATCGAACAAGTACTGATTTTCTATAGGTATCGACTTGGATCGCCACCATGTGCGCGGCACCCACCGCAAGGCGCCCAAGAGCGAGAACGTTTACTTGCAGGTCTTGGTGAAGCTCTATCGATTCCTCGCCCGTATGACACCAACTTCCTGAAACATCAGATGCGCGGCGAATGAAGACTGATGAATTTGCTCCATATCAGGTCGCACGGAATCGAACTTCAACAAGGTCGTGCTCCGTCGCCTTTTCATGTCCCGGATCAACCGCCCCCCCGTTTCTGTCTCGCGCATTGTCTCCAACGTTACCGACTCCCACAAGGGCAAGACAATCGTCGTGATCGGAACTGTGACCGATGACAACCGCCTCCTCACCGTCCCCAAGCTCTCGATTGCCGCTCTTCGCTTCACTGCCACTGCTCGCGCCAGGATTGAGAAGGCCGGTGGTGAGACTCTTACTCTCGATCAGCTTGCTCTGCGCGCCCCAACTGGAGCCAACACTCTTCTGCTCCGCGGACCCAAGAATGCCAGAGAGGCTGTGAAACACTTCGGCTTCGGTCCCCACAGCCACAAGGCATGTTAAATAGATCCAGTTGATTGGACCATGCTAATACGTTACAGAAACCATATGTGCGCAGCAAGGGCCGCAAATTCGAGCGTGCTCGTGGTCGGAGAAGGTCTCGTGGTTTCAAGGTTTAAAATAGTGGTTGGACTCGTACTTTCTTTGTTAAGTAGATGCTGCCCGGTGTTGCAGGATCATGTAGCACAACCCTAACCACGTGATTTTTGAAGCATGGCCAGTGCCCGATTACTTCGACTGTCTGCGACAGGCAATCTGTTAATCATGAATAATCAGGTAGAGAAGCTTGGGTGCCACGAAAATGAAAATGGATTCAAATGTTCAATTGTAATGATGGAATATGTAACAGCACTTCACAAAGGTAGTACCTCATGTTTCCAGCTTTTACCACTACCTGTTTCGGAATAATCTGCAGCTCTGTGGCCCTCCCCCCGGATTTTATACTTGTAAATGGTCAATCCATCTAAACCAACGGGGCCTCTCGAGTGGATCTTGTTTGTGCTGATTCCAACCTCCGTACCGAAACCATAACGCATCCCATCTGCAAATCTCGTCGAGGCATTCCAGAAAACTCCGGCGCTATCAACGCCATTCATAAACCGTTCGGCAGTGTTTCTCGATCTCGTGACGATCATGTCGGTGTGTTTTGACGAGTGCCTGTTGATATGAGCAATTGCTGCGTCAAGGCTTTTCCCAGGTGAGTCGTCGCCGGGTATGGTTTTCACCGCCAGAATGAGGTCCAAGAACTCGGTTTCGTAATCAGACGCGACAGAATCCGAGACCGAGGACTGTTCTTGAGCGACAATCCTGCTCGAAAGCGCATCTTTTGAAGCCGGATCACAACGCAGTGATACTCCTTTAGCTAAAAGAGCCCCAGCAACAGCAGGAAAGATAGTATGGAGTACATCTTCATGCACGAGTAAGGTCTCTAGGGAGTTGCACGCTGCCGGGTAGTCGGTCTTGGAGTCCACAACAACCTTCACAGCAACATCAGGATCGGCGTCGTGATGTATATATGCTGAGCAGAGACCGTCTGCATGGCCCAGAACAGGGATTTTGGTGTTGTCCTGTACGAAACGGACAAGATCCTTGGAACCCCGGGGTATAACCAAGTCAATGTAGGTGTTCTGAGCAAGCAGGGAAGAGACGACCTCTCGTGTCTCCACCAACTGGATCGAAGCCTTCGGCACCTGGGTGTGTCCGATAGCCTCGGAAATCACCTTGGATATCGCGATGAAAGACTCAGTAGATTCCTTGCCACCTTGATCACTATCAGTTTCAGGCGATCTTTGTGAAAGAGAAGAATAGACAGACCTTTGAGGATAGCAGCATTTCCAGATTTAATAGAAAGGGCAGCGATGTTGGCGATCACCTCAGGGCGAGCCTCAAAGATGACCAACAACACCCCGATGGGGCAGCTGACTTTTTCGAGTGTCAGGCCGTCATCCAGCAGTGTCCTCATGGTCACATTTCCGACTTCACCACGTCAGCTCTTTGGTCACATCGCAGGGGAGAGGCGCGTGGTAATTTGATGGAATCAATACCTGGATCTTGCAAGTCTCTGACACTTAAGATACCCTGAAGCATATCTTCAAATTTCCCGGGTCGTGACAGATCGAGCCTTTTGAGAACACTTTGGTTGAGAACGCCGGCTTCAACTGCGCGCTCGGCAGCTGCAACATCTCTCGAATTGGCTGCCAGAATATCATTTCGGCTCTTCGCAATGGCTTCGTGGAGCGCTGTCAGAGCTTCGTTCCTCTCAGCCCCAGATAGGGTTGCTAAAAGACGAGACGCTACAGACGCAGATTTCGCGATCTCCGCTGGTGAGGAGTTTGTGAGGGACATTGTAGGCCACAATACAAAATACAAGTGAATGTGCTCAATGTTTTACCAATACAGGTTCAGAGAGCCGTCTGGTCTCGGAATCCGGGGCGCAGTTCCCAGAATTCGGTCAGTGAGTCATGGATAGGGCGCTAAGGATACAAGGTAACCTGTAAACAATGCTGCTAACCAAAAAGGATATGTGGACTCGTCCGTAGTTTGGTGGGGTCCCCGGCGGTGCGTTATGCTGCTCCCTACCGGATCGCCGGGATTAGAAGAACTTGTTACACAATATTGAGATATATGTCGAGATTACATCTCGCATTCTGCATTTGCCCCGCTGCATAAAATTTACTACGGGCCTGTACACCCTGAAGGCAGCATCCTTAGGATAACGCCCTTAAGTCACGTCGGCGGAATCACATCTTTAACCTCGGCAGCATCTTCTAGCTAGTGGAGAACATCATTTACCTGCTTCGCCTAGCCCAGGCTGCTTTGGCGTCTTAACCATCACTTTTGGCATTACTTCTATTGCACCATCCATGTGAGATTGTGTCAATCATCGAAACCTTGAAAGCCAGTCCCTATCTGGGCGCGGGGGTTATTCGCTCTTCCTCGACGCCTTGAAATCAAACCCGGCGTTATCAATCATGGCAGAGTCTGTTGAGCACATTATCTCTTTATCATCCCATCTGTGTTCACAAGATCTCCTTTCAGAAAATGATTATCAATGCCGGGTGCAGGAGTTGATCGCTATTCTTCGGCGATCAAGTCACAGCCTTCTTAGCGATAGTGTCTTAACTGTAAGCAAAGATATACGTTTCCTCACAAGATGACGGGCATACTCGGCCTTATCAGAGTTTGCATTGATTTGGAGTCTAACTCTGCAAAGGATCTGAGTCCCCACGAGCACACTTTACCCTACTTATTCGTGTTGCTGTATCAGATTGACTTGGCACGCAGCAGAACAAGAAGTGCTTTACCAGACGACATCAAGCCCGGTGGCCGGCTATGGTTTCCAGCCGTGCAGTTTCTGGGGGACTTCAAGGGACCTCAGGTTCGTTTCGCGGGCCATGAATGGCGTCAACTGGTGAATATTATTCTAGATGCTGCGGAATGTGACTCGAAGGCGAGTCTTCCTTCTAAATATCCCTCTACCCGTCTCAGACATTTAACATGCAGCAGGCAGTGTTGGCAGTGCGCGTGTTGAGTGATGCAATAATGCGACTTGATCAAAACGTGTGTGAATTCTCCTCATTGCACGCAAGGTTCCTCCGACTGTGCCTTCTATCGCAGTCTTATAGCTATGCATTGCCCGTACTTGATAGACACATATCCAGTATTCATACAAACTTGGAGCAGCCTTCCAGGGGTGGCAACGGATACCTGCTAGCTTCGAACAGCGGTGCCAACGATTGTATCGCAGAGGCACCCGGCATCTCTCCCAGACTGACACACAAGGATGTTGCGCAGTACTATCTCTACGGTGCCATGATATACATGGCACTTAAAGAGTGGGATAAGGCCCTGCACTGGTTGAGTGTTGTGATCTCTTTGCCTGTTGTCAATTCAGTCAGCAAGATCATGATTGAAGCATTCAAAAAATGGGTGCTTGTGGGCTTACTGAGACACGGAAAGGTAAGTTAGTAGGGTGGTCAGGATGAGATTTTCATTCGGATTTGACTAATCACTTGAGTTAGCTCGTTACTGCTCCGAAGATAATATCCTCACACGTGATGAAGATATACCAAGCCGTCGCAAGACCCTATCTTTCCCTCGCAGATGCTTTTGAAAAATCGGATGAGCAGAGATTGCGGACTGAGGCGGACTTAGGGAAATCGGTTTGGTGTGCTGTGAGTCGATGCATGGGCAACATTCAATACTAGCGAACTTTGCTGATACCTTACCAGGATCTCAACTCTGGCCTTGTTCGCCAGCTTTTCCAGGCCTATGACATGTTTCTTGTACTCAAACTTTGCAGGGTTTTCTCGGCCCTGACAACAAAAGATATCGCAGGAAGAGCGGCGTCTTCGGGTTTGGATTCACCAGCAAAGATTGAGAATTTGATTGCGTTTCTCGTGATGTCAGGAGTGCTCGACGCACGACTGTTACAAAAGCCTTGTGATCGATCTTTCAGCATGTTGCGTTTACCTAAGTCGACACAGCCTCATTATTGCAATCGAAGCAAAATGAGGGTTGGGCTAGTGACAAAAAGCCATGCACTTAAGGTATTGACCTACAACAGTGAGGAATGTAACAATGAGTTAAAGGTAGGCCGTGAGAACATCGATCTCGTTGTGAGATGCCAGGGGTGGTCTGGTGTTACAGGAAAAGGAAGCAGTAAGGGCAGTATCGATCATGCTGCTTTTGGGGTTGATGAAGACATGATGGGAGATCTCAGCTAGATTTCCATCATCCTTAAGTAGCAATTTCAAGTATCAATATTCTATCATACATTCAATGTAAATTGTTATGTAGGCTACTCCTGATATTCTAAAGAATATATACTTTTAGTGCTGACTGTAGCTGATTGTCAAGGAAAGATAGATCAGCTAGGTATAGAATAGTAGCAGTCTAATAATTTGCAAACTTATTTTGCTATTCTCAAAGTATAGTAGAATACTAGAAATCAAGTATTAAAGCAGATTAAAATTATTATTATTATATTTGTTATATTAAAAATTACCGGTAGAATATTAATATTTTAATAAATATTATAACATTTAAAATACATGATGTAATAGATTAATATGATCTTGATTATTAAAGATAATCAATAACAGAAAAATTAACTGGTTAGAAGTTCTGCTGCTAAGGCGGTTAGAGAGGCGGCCATAGAAAAAGATAGTAGAATATTATTATAAATAAATAAATAAATACATATAATATAATACATACCTAACCGACCTACTTTCTGTTAATACTAAAACTTATTTATAGCTTTATCTATTTTCTGTTGATAAAACTAGATAATTACTAATTGATTCTTATATCCTTTTCATGATATTTTCATATTTTCCTAGCAGCTATCAGTACAGTTAAATAATTATACCTTTTTTAAATCCAGTATCTACTATATTTTAGCCGCTGTACTAGTAGAGACTGTCGCCTTTTATAGCAGCAGCTACTGCCATAGTAGAATTTGCAGATACTTTATAAATTAATTATAGAAATTATTATAAATTATATATTTGTAAAATTTACTTCCAACGTTTCTTCTATTTTAATATATTCTTTAATAAAGTAATAAAAAAGATTAAATATAATTAGAGTGGCTTAACCTGACTGTTATACCTTAACCTTAATCTAACTATAATCTGGCAGTTAGATTAAGACATGAAATTTTTTAAACTATATAATTAAAATTAGATTAGAGAAAAAATATTACTTTAACTGTTTATATCTACCGGTTAGGAAGATTAGATATAATGAATAAATTGGTAACTATTAATTAATTAATAATATATATATTCTTTTTATATAAATAATATATAAACTATAATATATTTTAATTATAGTATAATAATATTTTTTAAGTTTAATATATTTATCTAATTCATTGAATCCTTTTTCTTATAACCCTGGGGGGTATTATACTTAAAAAAACTTTTATATTATATAGTATAAAAAATAGTATTTAATATTAAATAAATAAATTAAAAAAATTATACTACTTTTTATACTATTTAGAATATTAATTATAATGGCAGAGAAATTAGAAAAACCAGTTTTTTATTTTTATTCAAAGATATATAATATTTAAAGACTTAGATAAAGCTAGTTTTTTAATTATTATCATAATATATTATTTTTTTTAAAATATTTTTGAAAATATTTTTATTTTTATTTTTATTTTTATTTTTATTTTTATTTTTATTTTTATTTTTATTACTAAAAATAGTATTTATCTTATCCTTCTCTTACTTCTTAAGTATAAAAATAAATAATTTTTTATTTAAATTATTAAAAATATTCTAGTACTTTTTAGTACTAATAAAATAATTAATACTTATTTAAAATCTAATTATTTTAATTATCTTAAAATAAAAACAGGTCCAGCAATTGTAGCAGATATTTTAAAAATTAATAAATAAATATTTAATACCAATACTTCAGTTATAACTAAAAGAAAATCTTTAGTTATTTAATGAATAATAAAAGATTAATTATAGTAGAACTTTTAGTAAGTAAAAATATTAGTATATTTATAATATTTAAATTAATATTTTCTTAACTTAGAATGTTTTTATAAGCTATATCTTTATAATATTTAAATATATTTTTAAAAGTTAAATATTTCAGCTGCTGGTAAAGGTTTTTAGTATTTAAAGATATTATAAAAGCCTTATTTAGGCCTAAAAGTAATTTAGAAATAATTAATAATATATTAATAGCTAAATTTTGATTATAATAAAAATGAAATACGTTTTGAAAAACAGCTTAATAATTATTATACTAGTTAATATTATTATCCAGCTAAATGTTTTTTTTAAACTTTTTAAATGTTAATATGTCATAGGTAATCCCTGAGAGCATAATGAACCACTAATGGCTTGCCTATATACTTCTAATAAAAGGATTATAATATTAATAATCTAAACTTCCTCCAGTATTTAACTTCTAGAATCTTACTATATCTTTAGAATAGTAAAAATTAGTTTTAAAATTAATAAACTACTACTATTTTATATCTAACTAACCTATTTTCTTATGATAATTTTAATTCTTTTTTTAGTTATATATAAAAAATAGTATATTATAGTAATTATTATATTTAAATAGTAGTTTAGAGTTAGAAATTTTTTTTTTACTACTAATAATTTATTATTTTTATTTTTTAATTTTTTAGTAGAGGATCTTACTGTAGTTAAAATACTACTAATTAATTATAAGATTATTAGTAGTTATAAAAATAAGTTGCCGAACTATAATAAAATATCTAGTATAATAATATTAAATTATAACTAATTTAATAATAAAAGATTTTCTTATTTTTAAATAAATGTAAAATAAATATTAAAATTAAAAATATTCTGTAATTTAAACTTTTTTAATAGTTAAAAGTATTAGAAGTAGTTTTATAATCTAGATTATAATTTTTAGAAAGTACTATTTAAATTTTATAACAACTGTTATAAAATTTTTAAAACTATAAGCTATATAAATACAACCTATTAGTCAAAATAGTACTATTATTTTAATAAATTACTACTAAAATATAAAAAAGATATTAGCTATTTATAGCCTGCTTTTTTTTAAAATAAATATTTTTTATCTAAAATACTACTATATTTAAATCTAATATAAAAAATTAGTTAGAAAGAGTCTACTAATAAAATAACTAATATTCTTATAAATTTTATATTTATTTTAATATTTTAAAATGATATTGTTTTAGAACTACTCAAAAAAGCAAAGCTTTATTTTCTTTATAAAGTTATTTTCTAATTTTAAGTATTATATGAAAAAGTATATATATTAATTATTTAAAAAATAAAATAAAAATAATATTTATTATTATTTATTATTAAAGTTTATAAATATAACAGTAAAAATATAAATAGGAATCTAATATATCTAATATATTTTAAAAATATTTATAATCTTATAAAAATATCTAATTTTTAATCTTTAGATCTAATTATACTAATATAATTAAAAACTATTATAATATTTTTTATATAACAGTACTAAATATCTTATAAATTACTATTTTTTTAAAAAAAAATTAGTTTAAATTTAAAAACTACAAGCTAAAGAAGTTGATTAAAAAAATAAAATAGGCAAAAACTAATTTTTTTATTTAAGTTTTATATTAAAAATAAAAACTGCTAATAAGATATTAATATTATTATAAATATTTTATATTAGAAAAATTTATACAGATATTAATAGTTATATAATATACAATCTAATTAGTATTGTATTTATATAATAATTTTATTATTAAAATCTTTAAAATAATTATTTTTATTAAAAGCTATTAATTATACTGTTGTTACCAGCTATAGAATATAAAATATTTTATTAAATATTATTAAGTTTAAAAAAATATATTATTATTTTATTAGATTATATATTACTATTATTTAAAATAATTTAATTGTACTTTTTATAATTATTTTATTATATTATAAGATCTATTTATTACTATAAAATAAGTAATAGTAGTTTAAATTTAATAAAATCTAAAAGCTAGATTTTTAGAAATTTATTAAAGTTTGCTAAAACTATACTTATATTTATACTATTATTAAAAATTTAGAAAAAAATATAGCTTTTAAATAAAAATAATCTATAAAAATAGTACTAAAATAATTTTATTTTAATAGAACTAGTTAAATTTTTAATATTTTTTTATTTAATTATTTTAAAGTTCTTTTAGAATATTATAATAAAAACTATACTATTAATTTTTTTAAGAATAAATTACTACTATTTAGACTTATTTACCCCTTATTAAAACAAAAACTTTCTATATTTAAAAACTATATTAATAAAAATATTATAAATAAAAAAATATATTTATTTAAAAGTCCTGCAGGGGCTTTTTTTTTTTAAATATAAAAAAAATAAAAGTTTATAACTATATATAGACTACTGTAAATTTAATAAGATTATAATAAAAAATTAATATCTACTGTTTTCAATTTTTAAAATTCTGGATTATCTTATAGAATACAAATACTTTAGTAAAATTAGTATTTAAAATATTTATTATTATATCTATATTAAAATAAATAAATAAAAAATTATTTTTTATATATTATAGTTATTTTAAATATATAGTAATACTATTTAGCTTAACTAATATATCTGCTTTTTTTAAAACTATATATATTCTATATTATATAATATTTTAATATTATTTATATTATATATCTAAGTCATATTTTTATATTTTTTATAATAAAATTTAAATATATTAAATATACTAAATAGGTGCTAATATAATAAAGATCAGCTATTTTATATACTAAACTTTTAAAATATTTTTAATAGTAAATTAAATTTTTAGACTATATTATATTTTTTATAAAAATTATAATAAATTTTAATTAAATTAATACTATTATTTTATAGCTATTATCTACTACTTACTATAATATTTAGATTTTTTTAAGATTTTATAATTTTTATGGAAATTCTGTTTATACTTTTTTTATTAATATTACTTTTAACTAATCTGCTGAAAAAAGTTAAAACAGTAAAAAATCTAGTATATATTATTTAATTTTAAATAAAAAACTGGTATTCTGCTGGTTTATTTATATATTTTATACTACTTTTTTTACTTTTTTTACTTTTTTAATTTTGTATAGCTTATTAAAATTAAAACTAATATCTATAATAAAAAAATAACAGTTATTTTGATCTAATCTAAACTAATAAAATAATACTATATAATAGCTATTTAGTTTAGAAAGTTTTTTAATATAAAACTAAATTAAAAAACTTTAAATTAAAAAATTTTTATA